TTGTTGTTGAGGTGATATGCTGACTCTGTAAACCGCTTAGAGAGGGCTGAAAGCCCTATGAAGCGGTATCTAAGTCTAACTGCTATTGCTATTAATAATCTGCAGTCTCAAAACCAGGTGGCTAAGAAGAAGGAAGAGCCCACCCGATGAGATGGGAAATGTCTCACAAGCAATTTCTAGGACATCAATTTGAAGACCAAGATTGTTAGAACTAAAAGGAAGAAATATAAAATGGGTTTATTTAAGCAAAGTTAAAATAGATATATTGTTGTCTCTGGTAACTCCTTAATAGACTTTTCCTGATATCAGGCACTGAAATGAGGGTTCTATTTGTTTATAAATAAGAGATGGGCTATAGGAGGAAGAGAACATTTGTTGTACTTTAAAAGGTGGCAATTTACTAAAATGGTTAATTTTATATTTTCATGAAGGGGAAAGTCACTTTTTTATATATTACTTTCTTTACTATATTCTTATTTTTCTTTTCTATTTTTCTCCCCTCTCTTTTGCACCTTCTATTGTTTCTTTTTATTCTTTCATGTTTTGAGCTTGTATTAGTTTTTATTGCAAATTGTAATCTTTATTAAAACTACTATATACACTGTAAAAAGAAAAAATATATATCTGTATTTTAGAACGTTTCACAAAGATGATATTTTCAGTGAAGATTTAAGAGCGGGAAGGAAAACAGAAGCCTTCAAAATGAAAAGGCATCAAGCTAAATCTTCAGACTTTGAAAAGCTTTGGATCACCTCCGAAAGATTCAAGGATTTATTTTTCTCTGGTGGAAAGGAATAAATGGGGTCATCCACCATGCTTGGCCCGCTTATACACAAAGGGAGCTTAGAGAGGATTTTCATCTATCAGTGGAATATAGCAGAAAAGTAGAGAGGTGAGAGGGCTTGATAATTGTTTCTGCTACTTTCTTCCTGTGCAACTCTCCCTGAGCAATTGTTAAAAATAATCCATGATTACCAAACTGATTATGTCCTATCAGGATAAATCAATATATTTCAACTTTATCCACAGTGGCAGCGACTAATTCACATGGCAGCATCTGGTTCTTTCTCCAGAAGTTCCCTTTGGTTTGGACAAATTCAAAGATTTAATTTAGCAACTACAGTCATGTGACTTCTCAATTTCTAGAATAAGACAATTACAGCTACGCATGGAGAGAGAGAGAGAGAGAGAGAGAGAGAGAGAGAGAGAGAGAGAGAG